ATTTTTATGGTGATCTGTGATCAGTGTAATCTCTGATGTTACTATTTTAATTGTTTTAGATGCCATGAACCATGCCCATGTGAGATGGCAAACTTAATCAATAAAAGTTGTGTATGTTCTGACTGCTCTACAAACCAGCTGTTCCTGTCTCTCTCCCTCTCTTCAAGCCTCCCTATTCCCTGAGACACACAATAGTGAAAGTAGTCCAGTTAATAATCCTCAAGAGAAGGGATGGTTTAAATGAAACAAAGAGTCCTCTCACTTTAAATCAAAAGCTAGAAATGATTAAGCTTAAGAAGGAAGGCATGTTGAAAGCCAAGACTGGCTGAAAACTAGGCCTCTTGCACCAGTTAGCCAAGTTATGAATGCAAAGGAAAAGTTCTTGAAGAATATTAAAAATGCCGCTCCAGTGAACACATGAATGATAAGAAAGTGAAATATCCTTATTGCTGATATGGAGAAAGTTTTAGTGGTCTAGATAGAAGATCAAACCAGTCACAACATTTTCTTAAGCCAAAGCCTAATCCAGAGGAAGGCCCTAACTCTCTTCAATTTGATAAAGGCTGAGAAAGATCAGGAAGCTGTAGAAGAAAAGTCTGGATCTAGCAGAGGCTGGTTCATGAGGTTTAAGGAAAGAAGGTGTCTCCATAACATCAAAGTGCAAGAGGAGGCAGCAAGTGCTGATGCAGAAGCTGCAGCAAGTTACCCAAAAGATCAAGCTAAAATGATTAATGAGGTTGTTATACTAAACAACAGACTTTCAATGAAGACGAAACTGTGTTATATTGGAAGAAGATATCATCTAGGACTTTCATAGCTAGAGAGAAGTCAATGCCTGGTTTCAAAACTTCAAAGGACAGGCTCACTCTCTTATTAGGGACTAATGCAGCTGGTGACTTTAAGTTGAAGCCAATGGTCATTTACGAAATTCCTAGGGTCCCTAAGAATTATGCTAAGTCTACTCTGCCTGCACTCTATAAATGGACCAACAAAGCCTGGGTGACAGCATATCTTTTCACAACATGTCACTAAATATTTTAAGCCCACTGTTGAGACCCAATGCCCAGAAAAAAAGATTCCTTTCAAAATATTATTGCTCACTGAAAATGCACTTGGTTACCCAAGAGCACTGAGTGAGATATACAATGAGATTATTGTATGGGTGTTTTCATGACCATTAACACATCCATTCTGCAGCTCATGGATCAAGGAGTAATTTTGACTTTCAAGTCTTATTATTTAAGAAATACATCTCAGAAGGCTGTAGCTGTATTCCTCCGATACAGCTGGGTAAAACTGAAAACTTTCTGGAAAGGATCTCACCATTCTAGATATCACTAAGAACATTCATGATTCATGGGAAGAGTTCCAAATATCAAAATTAAGTGTAGTTTGGAAGTTGATTCCAACCTTATGGATGAGTTCTTAAGGGGTTCAAGACTTCAGTGGAAGAAGTAACTGCAGATGTGGTGGAAACAGCAAAAGAGCAAGAATTAGAAGTAGAGCCTGAAGATGTGATTGAATTGCTGCAATCTCTTGATAAAACTTTAGTGGATGAGTTGCTTTTACGGATGAGCAAAGAAAGTGGTTTCTTGAGATGCAATCTATTCCTGATGAAGATGCTGTTGAAGACTGCTGAAATGACAACAAAGGATTTAAAATGTTACATACACTTAGTTGATGAAGCAGTGGCAAGGTTTGAGAGGACTGACTCCAACTTTGAAAGAAGTTCTACTGTGCATGAAATTTATCAAACTGCACTGCATGCTACAGAGAAATGGCTCATAGAAGGAAGAATCAATCAATACGGCAAACTTCACTGCTGGCTTACTTTAAGAAATTCCAACAGCCACCCCAACCTTCACCCCACCCTGATCAGTTAGCAGCCATCAACATCAAGGCAAGACCCTCCATCAGGAAAAAGATGAGGACTCACTGAGGGCTCAGATGATGATAAGCACATTTTAACGGTAGAGTATTTTAAAATTAAGGTATGTACATTGTCTTTTTTAGACATAGTGTTACTGCACACTTACCAGATTACAGTATAGCATAAACATAACTTTTATGTGCAATGGGAAACCAAAAAAAAATTGTGACTTGCTTTATCTCAATATTTGCTTTATTGCGTTGGTCTAGAACTGAACCCGCAATATCTCCAAGGTATGCCTGTACTTTGAACTGAAGGCAATGTCTGGTTGTACAGGGGGTTAGCATGCCCTACATGTGGGAGGGAGAATGAAACAGTCTGGGGACCAGAATGGCCAACTGAAGCAGAGTCAATGCTACTTATCCACTACACTGGTCCCTGTTCCTGGGCAAATTGAAGAATACATTTTCCAGCCTCCTTTGCAATTATGTTAGAGGTAAGGTGACTAATTCCTTACCAATATACTATGGTGAGAGTAATGTTAGCCACTTCCAGGCCTGGCCTTTAAAACCATTCACTGAGATCCTCCAGCCCTTCCACTGCCATCTTGGAAGCCAGATGGCATAGCTACAGATGGAGGAGTTACATCCAACTTGTGTTAGACTTTTCATGGCAAAAATATTTTGTTGTTGCTATTTTGCTGTTGCCATAGCACAGCACAGTCCAGTGCTTTCAAAATTTCTTGTGCGTATAAACCATCTTGTTCTGAGGCACACCTGGGATGTGGCCTGAGATTCTACATCTCAAACAAGCACCAAGATGATACCAACATGAACAGTCTACGGAATACACCTTGAAAAGCAAGACTAATACACAGGGGGAGAACAGATGATTCTCTGGAGAAACCGAATGGCCCAGAGAAAAGGTCTCCCGTAGGAACTGAGCAGCAAGACTAGAGAATTCAGGCTCGCATTCACAGTGAATCAAAAACTACATGTAAACAATATTGTCAACTATTTTCAATCCAACGAAGTATATGCTTTGTAGAACTGAGAAGATGGCTTCCCCTGCCCTTTCCTGCATCTTCCCACCTGTCTTTAAGCCTGTCTTCCTAACCCCAACTTAACCCCCATGACCTGGATTAAATACCACCCCCTCCATGAAGTTCTGCCATTCAATCTAATGACCAGATGGGCACTAATCCTCCTCTCAATTTCCGTAGCACTTCTATCACTTCAAGACCCTCAACACATTATTCCCTGATTGCATGTGATTTAACTCCTCTATCAGAATAAGCACCTGAAAAACTACAACACTGATCACATCAGCCTGGCTCAAAGGCGGCGCTCAGGTTTTTTGTTTTTGTTGACTGTTAAATGAATCCATGAATTAGAAAATTCAGGGATTTCAGAGTGAGTTGAGCAAAGAAACTAAATCAGGCCTAATTTTTTAAAAAAATCCTCAAAAATGAAGAATTAAAAATTACACTCCCCGAAAAAAATTTCAACATTGAAAATCTTCAAAATATAGCAAAGACAAAACTGATAAATAGTTAAAACTAAATGTTTATAGTGCATACACTGGTCATTTCCATACTCACAGGTGGCCAAAGCAAAAGGCCTAAGATCTTCCTGTAGGATTATTTACCATCAGAACAGTCCACTGCTTTAGAAAATGTCGAGTCAATCAGATAACTAAAGAATAAGTAGGATTGTAAAGTATCTTTTCTAGAAAAAAAAAATAGTATATGCCATTTCATGACTCAAATTTGGTACTTTTAGAAATTTTGGCAACTTTTTTTTCTTTCAGTTATTTAAATTGTTTACCACCAAGAGTATAAACCTAAACATTATGTGATTATAGCAAAAAAGAACTGCTACATGGAGCGGGGGCAGGAGGGACCAAAGTGAAACAGAGCTGTTCTTCAAGAACTAGACATTGCTACTGATAACAAACAAAGGGTCTTGACTGGTTTAATGAATTCACTCCCATCTATGCATCTATAATATCTTCCTGGAACTAATTTAAAGAAGACAAAAATGTTGGAGCTAGGGTTGCCAGATTTAGCAAATAAAAATGCAGTCGGCCCAGTTAAATTTCGGATAAACAATGACTTTTTTTTGTTTGTTTTGTTTGCAGTACGCAGGCCTCTCGCTGTTGTGGCCTCTCCCGTTGCGGAGCACAGGCTCAGCGGCCATGGCTCATGGGCCCAGCCGCTCCGCCACATGTAGGATCTTCCCGGACCAGGGCACGAACCCGTGTTCCCTGCATCAGCAGGCGGACTCTCAACCACTGCGCCACCAGGGAAGCCCAACAATGACTTTTTAGTAAAGCATGCCCTACGCTTTATACTAAAAACTTATTCACTGTTTACTAAAATTCAAATTTAACTGGGTGTCCTGTATTTTATCTGGCAACCCTAAGGGAAGCCAAAATCAATCCAATTTCCTCACTTTGTAGCAGAAACTGTGACCCCAAGAAGGGAAGTGACTTACCTAAACCAAAGATCAAGGAAGTCAGTTTGCTTTCAAAAGAGAAAACATATTTCACTAGGTCACCTTGGGTTCCACTCATGGTCCATTCGACCTCTGATTTTCACACACCTCACAGAAGCACCAAGCAGACAAGCTGTCAAAGGATATGGTTTTCCTCTTTTAATATCAAACTGTGAGTTCCAGTAAACTTACCAACTCTAGTCTTCAAAAACAACAAATGAGGAAACTATGTATTTCTCTTAACTTAAAAAAAAAAAATCCTCCTGATAATCTTTTTGCCTACACACCATCACCTCAGATTCTGTTTATGTTCACTCACTACATAACACAGGACCTCCTTTTCTCCCAAACCTAGTTCTCTCAGGGGTATGGGAGCCGGGGAGGGGGGAGGAAGACAGTATGGCAGATAAAGATTCTGATTTTGACAAATTCGGCTTCCAAAGAAGGTTTTAAGAAAAAAGGTTCCGTTGCATTTTTAAAAGCCTGGAGGGAGAAAAAAAAGTAACATAAACCATTATGACTTTCTCTAAGTTTTCCATTAAAAACTTCACCCTAGTGAACAAGAACCCAAATTGTGTCAGGTGAAAAACTGAAAGTCAAACAGAAACTCAGCAATTAAAAGACAAAATATCTACCTATGCTTTCCCTCTGGCAGCTTCCAATGTATACAGGCCTCTCTCGAGATCACACACGTCGGAAGAGTAAGATCCTCAGAAATCACCTAGTCCATCCTTTCATTTTACAGATGTGGAAACTCAGGCCAAGGGGAGGGCTGACTTGCCCAAGGTCTCACAGCCCGTCGGGGGCAGGACTTCAACTGGGACTCCACGCTGGCAGCCCCAGGCCCTCAGCGCCCGATGGCTCCTGCGGCCCCCGGCTCAGCCCGGCCCAAGGGCAGCCTCGAAAACCGGGGCGGAAGAGCCCACAGCCCGGGGTCGCTGCCGCCTTTCGGCCGGATAGGCGCCTGGGCCCCGGCCCAGGGCGGTGCGAGGCCCGGGCCTCGACGGCCGCCCCCGACCCGCCCACCTGTCGCGGACCGCACAACGGGCAGCCACACCCCCTGCCAGGGCCGGGGGCTCGGCCGGCCTCGACGGCGGCCAGCAGCGGCGGCTCCGCGCGGCGCGGGGTACGCCGGACCCGAGGCCGCAGGAGTTACCTCAGGTGGGCGCTGACCTCGCGGCGGGGAAACCCCCGCCCGCCTCGGGCATGCCGGAGACGCGGACGCAGCAGGGCTGCAGCTCGGCCACCGCTAAGCCTGTTTACAACCCTCCGCGGGAGGACGCCGACTGGTCTGTCACGTGATGCACACGTCACGTGCTCGACCGGGGTGGGGCAGAGGCGTTGCCCAGCGACGACGGTGATCTGGGGGCGGGCGTCGGCGTCGGCGCGGTCTTTCTGCTCTCCCAGGTCATGGGCTGCTGTGTAGAGTCGACAGCCGGCGCGCCGTGATCAACCCGGGCGAGGAAGAGGAAAGACCCACCACCGGCTTCGTCCTTTAGTGACCCCTGAGCCTAACCGCATGTATCATTCTTGTTTTGGAAGGGGGAGGGAATTCGGTCAGGCATTATGATGTTGAACTTGAAAAGAAAAATGGAAAATACTTCTTTACCCAAAGCTAGAAAACAAAGGGAGAGCAGAGGAATAAGCCATAATGGTTTGATTTGCCTTAATGAACACTTTTGTTTACTTTTGCTCCCTAATGTGAATGAAGGTCCACAGCCTACCATCTCCCCCATCATAGAAAGGCTGTGAAGAGGGCTCATGGGACTTCCAGTTTTTATTTTAAATTATATTTTATCATCATTTCCATGATTAGTCTTTGTATATGTAAATACAAACACATCTAAGTAAATATTTGATTTGGCATTAAGCTTTTGTCCACATCAAACTTTCCTGATTATAGCTCTGTCACTTTGTTTGTAGTGACTACTTCTACCAAGTGTAGTTTTCCTAGATCAAACTTTGTAGAAGTAAAGTCTCAGCCACTGACAATTTCTCCCATAATATTCATTATAAGCTGTGTAATAAATAATTTGTATTATTTCTTACTAAATTCATGAGTGAATTGGGAGCAAATACCTGCAGATATGCCAGTTTTTAGGTTGTCCTGGTGTGATCTATTGGGTAATCACACTCCACCATACATTTCCGATCACTTTGCATACTTAGCTATCTATGAGCACATTGACAGGGTCAAAACAGTGGACTCAAAATATCCTCCAGGTCAATAGGACAAGGTCAAATATCCTCTTTATTTCTATAACACACCTAGAATGCAGCACTACAAAGAGTACAAAATATAGTGATGGATCTTCGGCAAGATTCATCTTTTACTATGGAAAATAGGTTACAAGGCCAGTTGCCACAACCTGGTTAACCTTTTCTGCTGCCTCTGGCAACAGATGTTCCACGAAGGCAGGAACAGTATCCTCCATTGGTGTTCCTTATCTGGGAAGCAAAGAAAGTTGGCTGATCCGTGCATGTGGAATCCTGCCATCCTTCAGTAGGAAGTGGCAAAGAACTTTTGTAGATCCAGAAGGATCTGTGGGTTAGGCAGGAACAGTGTCCTCCATTGGTGTTCCTTATCTGGGAAGCAAAGAAAGTTGGCTGATCCATGCATGTGGAATCCTGCCATCCTTCAGTAGGAAGTGGCAAAGAACTTTTGTAGATCCAGAAGGATCTGTGGGTTAGGCAGTACTCTGGAGGCAATGCTAGGGTGAGCCAGGACTCACTGGAATTCTGGGGAGACATACAGAGATAAAAATTGATTGGTCAGTGGTCAGTGTATTAAAAGCCACAGGATTGGATGAGCTCACACAGAGCACTAACTCTGATACCTTCTGACCTCAACCCAGAATACAAAATACATTTTCCATACTGACCAAATACATGTATTGATCAATATATAGCTTAAAAGTTTCAAGAAGCAAATTTACCTTCCCTTTCTCTTCCACTTTATTCTGTTCAGTTTTTTAAAACTTCTGCTCCCAGAAAAAAATCAACTGATTTTTTTAACTGAATACTGGTTCTGTCCTACAGTTTGAAAATCACTGAAAGTCGCTGACCTAGGACATTAATTGCACAATTGCTGGGGAATAAAAGAGAGATCCAAAGGCTAGTCATATGGAGATTAGACTTCAGAGATTAGAAGATAAGCAAAGGAAATTTAGGAGCAGCCAGAGGTAAGAGGAGAAACAAAACCGAGGAGTCCTAAAGACGAAAGGAAGAAAATGTTTCAGGGAGAAGAAAATGCATGTGTCATTGGTCCTGAGAAGTTGAGTAAAATGAAAATTGACCTTTGGATTTGGCAGTTTACAGATCATTGAGAGCTTGAGAACAGAGCAATTAAGACAAAGTGGTGGGGATACAAGCTTGATTTTTTTAATGTATTTTTTTCAAGCTTGATTTTAGAGATAGTAAATGGTGACAGCAAGTAGATGTATTTCTTTTTGCTGTAAAGAGGAGCAGGGGAATGGGACAACAGCAGGTAAGAGATGTGGGCGTTAAGGTTCTCTGTTTAAATATTTATACGCTAATAGAAATGGGTGAACAAGGATTGCGAGCAGGCAGACACAGATAGCTTGGTAGACTTGTTTGATGCAGGTGGAATTTCTTTTCCAGTTATTCATAGTTTAATAAAATAAGCTGAGAGTGAGGAGGGGGAGAGATGTTGCTGGTGGTTTGGCGGCGGGGGGGGCGGGTGTGTGAAAATCATCCAAGAGAGTGCAACATCCCAGCCCAGTTCCAGCCCCAGCCCGGTGATTCCCCACATGGACGACTGCTACACCTTTCTGTTTCCTGACTTCCATCCTGCCTCCTACAGCCTTTTTTCTATGCGATCACCAGCATGATTTTTCAAAACTTAAATCCCATTATAGAAACCCCCAATATTTTCCCAGTTCAGAATAAAGTCCAAAGTTCTTGCCTATAAAGTCCTCCATGACATAGCCCTTTATTTCCTGTCATCTCCCTCACTTGCTTTGCTCCAGCCAGCAGGCTTCTCTGCTATTTCTTCATTACCTCGGGCAAAGAACACTTTCCCCCATTTCTTCACTGCCTTTGTGACTTTACTTAAATGTTAACTTTCTCATAGTGGCTGTATTTGACCACCCTTTTTAAAACAACACTCATATCTGTCACCCTACTCTGCTTGGTTTTTGTTTTAGCACTTATTACCAGCTGTGGCAGAGACATTTACAGCTCATGAAATATCCATTCCCCACCCCAATAACTCTTGCAATTAGGTAGGGCCATATGCCCAGCTCTGACCAATGGGTTGTGAGCAGAAGGGTGCTTCTACACTTCTAGGCAAGAGCATATTGGAGCCACCATGCAACCCTCCAGCTCTCTCTTCCCCTGATGCAGCAATCTCACAGACCACACGTGGCACTGGCAAACCACACAACAGAAACAGACTGAATCACTGAGTTACCTTATCAGGCAGTTGCCTGGCTCACTGAATTTTGCAAGGGTGGAGAATAAACTTCATGTTAAACCACTGAGCTTTGGGGGTTAATGTGTCACCACATTGTAACATAACATCTGTTATAGTCTGAATTATGTCTCTTTAAAATTTATATGTTTAAGTCCTAAGTCCCAGTACCTCAGAATGTGACTGTATTGAAGATAGGCCCTTTAAAAAGGTAGTTAAGGTAAAATAAGGTCATTCAGGTGGGCCCTAATCCATTATGACCAGTGTCCTCATAAGGAGAGATTAGGACACAGATACCCATAGAGGGAAGATCATGTGAAGACACAGGGAGAAGGCAGCTCTCTGCAAGCCAAGGAGAGAGGCCTCAGAGGAAACCAACCTGCCAACTCCTTGATCTCAGACTTCTAGCTTTCTAGAACTGTTAGAAAATAAACTTGTTTAAGCCACCCAGTCTATGGTACTTTGTTATGGCAGCCCTAGTAAACGAATACATCCTAACACCAATACTCCATCTGGCATATTTATTTTTATTGTTTCCCTTCTCTAGAATATAAGCACATAATGAAAGCAGGGATATTTAGTTCAACACTATGTCCACAGCATTTAGAATAGTGCCTGACACCTAGTAGACGCTCAGTTAATACTTATTGAATGACTGAATACTGTATTTACATGAAATTTTTTCCAAGAAAATCTCTGGGGCTCTACTCATGTTGCTAACTTTCCATAATATTTTTTAGATTCTTCTGAATTAAACTTCCCTTTTCATTTCTAATTTTACTAATTTACTTTTCTTTCTTAAGTTAATGTTGATATAAATTTGGCTGAAATATTGTGGAATAAGTGCAATTTTATTCAATTTCCAGTATTCACTTTCTTTTCTTTTCCTGATTTCCATTTTCTCTTTTCCTTTGGTTCTCTCAGTTCTTTTCCCAAGTTTTAGATTAGTTATAGTTTTTCTCTTTCTTTGTAACATAGACATTTCTACCTTATTCCTGGAATAAAGAATATAGCACTATTTTCTAGTAAGTTACAGCTTTGACTGTGTTGTGCAAATTTTAATAAGTACTATTTATGAAAGTTGGTGTATAAAATAATACTTTCTAGGATTTTTAAATATGTGTGAAGAATTTTTTAGTTTTCCATTATTGTTAAACACTTTAATGACAGCATTTTACAACAGAATACTTCTATGAATGTACTGTGTAAAATGTTTACTTTTTATATTTTACATGGATTTTCTTGCCCCCAAAGGAATCAAATACTTGAGAAAACATATATTCTCTATTTGTCCCATTTTATTGTCTACAAAAATGTTAAATTCATCTTGTTTTTCACTGTTGACTTGTCCTGTTATATCCACAATGGATGTTAAGGCACATACTAGCTAGTCTAGTCCACTTCTTTTTGGACATATTTTTTTTAAGTTTTTTTAATAAACTATTTTTTAGAATAGTTTGATTTACATAAAATTTTCAAGAGTTCCCATATATCCCACACCCAATTTCCCCTGTTAATACTTTATATTAGTATGGTATATTAAAGTCTATGCTTGATTCAGATTTCCTTCGTTTTTTTTCTTCTTTTAAATTTTTGGCCACAGTGTGTGGCATGTGGGATCTTAGTTCCCCAACCAGGGATCAAATCCGTGCCCCCTGCATCGGAAGGCGAAGTCTTAACCACTAGACTGCCAGGGAAGTCCCAGGGGCTGTGGGTTT